GCCCTGCCCTGCCCTGACTGCGGTGGTCGCGCCAGCTGTGGCCCTGCCCTGCCCGGACTGCAGGGGTCGTCGCAGCCAGCTCTGCTCAGGCAGGAGCTGTCTCTTAGAATCGTTTCATGCACAGCCCCGCGTTCAGTCCCGGGTGCAGCTCTCTGGGCCTGTGGCTCTGGAGCTTAGATTCCCAGCGGGGAGACCTGTTCCAAGGAGAGATTTTATTCTAGTTTGCAAATAAGGAAGCTGGGTCTGGAGGAGGCTAATTCTCTTGCAGGTTTGCACGGCAGGTCGGGAAGCCAATTTGAGCCTGTGCTCCTGGACTCCAGAGCTCTCGCTTTTTCCACTGTCCAAAAGTAACGCTGGGCAGCAGATGACTGAGGGGTGCGGGGGCACACAGGGGGGCCTCTAGAGGGGACTTTATCGAGTGTGTCCCCAGATAGAACAGGTCAGAGCAGAAGCCACTTGATAGCAGAGCAGGTGAGGCGGAGCTTTCCTCAAGCACTTGGACTTAACTGTGAGAATCTTTTGTGTCGCTTACGGTTTTTGTCCAATTTAGTCAAGTGATAATCCCCCTCCCCAGTCCGGAGATAACCAGTTCCAACAGTTTCTGCTTTCGGTGCCATTTTGGTTTGGTGGTGCGCGTTTTCACTCTCATGCTGAATTATGTTTTCTCTGGTTGCCAAGGCAGATGGATGGCACTTTTGTTATGATTCTGATATAAATAACATCTGTTAAAAACTGGACATCAATATTTCCCTGGCAAATAAACAAATATACCAGCGAAATAGCTTGCTGGTTGAGTTTTTGCTGTGGTTAAGAAGCAGAGCTAAACGTCTGTGATTCTGCTTATTTAGGGGAAGGCTTTTGCTTTCATGATCACTGCTGATTTCGGAAGTAATCTCATCTGTTTCTTGTCTCGGGGTTGGCTTTGCTTCTAAAACCCGAACTGTGGGTCACACACAGCCAGGGGTACGCAACCTGTCAACTCCTCGCGGTACTGTGGTCACAGGCAGAACATTGTTTAGCTTTCAGAACCAAAGGTGCAGCTAGCACGGGCTTCTTGCCGCTGTAGTGCCAGGCGTGGATAACTGTGGCCCACCTTGAGCCAGGTTTCGGGTTGGGCTCAGTGGTACAGCACTCGCCCGGCACCCGTGAGGCCCTCGTTTCTATTCCCAGCTCTACAAAGTATTTTTTAAAAAGCAAAAATTAAGCACTTACTGTATGCCAGGTCATGCCAGCTGTAAAGAGTTAGTGTTGCCCCCGCCACTGGAGGGGCTTAGGAACTAGCAGGGACCAGCAAAAAATTCTGGAAACAGAGAATTGAGGTGACAGTGTGGATAGATGACAAGGAAGTATCAGATGATGGATGAGAGAGTATCAGTATTTCATTCTCTCAGCAAAGGGACAAAGTTATAGGCAACTTTGATCTTTTTGTCCTTTTCTTAAATAAAACAATGAACCAACATGCCGCCGGGGCTGGGTTCTCTGTGACACCAGGATTCACACTGTGTAGAGGTTAGGAAGGTTGGGGAAAAGGAAGGGGTCGTGTCTCACTCTTAAAAGATAACTTGACTGTGCCAGGTGGACCTGCATGGGGGGCATTCTAGCTGAAGCAAGGACCAGCATGGTGGCCTGCAGCTCCGTGGCTTGCCTGAACGCCTGCGGAAGATGGAGCCTGGCCGAGGGAAAGCTGTGTGCCTGAGTCCTCCCCAGTCCATATTTTAGATTCATAGAAAAGCTGTAAAAGTAGCCCAGAGAGCTCCCATGACAGAATAGCCAGAGCTTGACAGTCAGCCTGCGAAGTCAGCTGGGCCTGGTGGTGCACGCCTGTGAGCCCAGCACCCTGCAAAGTCGTGGCCAGCCTGGGCTACACGGAGAGGCCTTGTCTTAAGCAACAAAACAAAACAAACACAAGAAGGGATTAAATGACAAGGGCCAGGGAGATGGCTCAATAGAATAAGCACTTCCCTGGCAAACACAAGGGCCTGAGTTCAATCCCCGGTTCCACCAAAAAAAAAAAAAAAAAAAAAAAAAAAAAAAAAAAAAAAAGAAAAGAAAAAAAAGGACTTAAATGCCAGCATGAGGTCCATTTAAAAGCCAATAAGCTGATGTTGATGAATATAAAAACAGTGGTCCTGCCTGACCAGTTTCTGCACGTGCCCTCTTCCTCCGGTGCGTGGTCCCGTGCCGTCTTGACATGTGCGTGCTCAGCATTGTGCATTTCTCAGCTAGGGAGTGACATGACTCTGTACTTTAGAAACAGAGATGAATCCTGGCCACAGAGGCAGGTGGGGCAGAGGAGAGGGGACACTGAGTAGAACCGCAGTGGCTCTGATTCTGTGGTTCAGAGGGTGAGGGTGGACGGTGGTGGGGTCGGGGCTCATGCAGCAGGAACCAGAGTCTGAACTCCATCCGAAAGAGGCTGGAGTTGCCAGGCCGTGGGACCAGAAGGCACTTCCCTTCCCGCCATTGTTTCAACTCTGAACTCATTGCTGGCCTCAGTGGGGGCTGGGAGGCAGCTGGGAGGTGCACTAACTGAACTCTAGATGTACTGAATGTAGGGGCTGTGACAGTGCACCAGGGAGGCCACATGGGAGTGTCCAGGAGGGCTCCAGGAAGAAATCCAAACAAGAGTACTCAGAGCTGTGTCGGCTGCAGGGTCCTCTGGAAATCTCCAGGGAAGTCCCAGATTTCTAGACCCCACCCCCATCGCAGCGTCAGATCAGAAGCAGGACCTGGAGCTGGGCCAGCACTGGGCATCTCACAGGGCCACCAAATCAGTCTCAGGGACACTCGCCTCAGAGCCACTAGATAAGGACGTTCAGGGAGCAGAGGGAGTGGGAGAAGGCGCCCAGGAGGAGGTGACAGTGTGGGGACTGTCAAAGGCCTGGGTGGCAGAGGCTTAGGGACCTGGAACAAGAGGCGGATGGAGGAGTGGGAGCTCGGGCTGCACCCACAGAGATGGTGGGGCCTTGGGTGATCTGTGTCCTGTGAAGAAGAAAGAGGCCGCGCACACACTGAGGTACACATACACACGCATGCACACACACGGACGCACATGCACGCACACACGCACACCCTTCCACCTCCACCCCGGAACCCTACGGTTATGTGACGTGTGTGCAGGATGCACCTTTCGGAAGCACAGACAGCTGTGCTCCCCCAGGACCCTGTGAAGGGTCCACAGGCTTGCAAACCCGCAGGTCCCGTCCTTTCCTGGGCCCCTTGCTCAGCTCCCCCTGGACACCGACACCGCCGGATCCACAGGCTGTGCTAACCCCAACCATCTCTTATTTTGCAGAACTTTCTCCAATTCTGAAATATTTTATTGTGAAGAAAAATGAAGCGAAATAGCACCAAATGCAACAGTACCAAGTCGGGCAGCACCAAAGCCAGGTGAGCTGCCGAGAGTCCCCAGAGCCTGTGTCACTCTGGTGGCCCTGACAGAGTGATGAAGCCTAGCCCTGTCAGGCTGTTTCCTGCAGCCGATCCCCACTTCCTCCTGTAGGTGGCGGCCGCCACCAGACTTTGAGCTCCTTGCGCAGGAGCTGGGAACCTTTGAAGCTTTCCTGTGCCAGCTCTGGGCCTGGCTGGGACCTGGTGGCGATAAACAGAAGTGCCAGCCGCGCCCTGCAGCCCGTGGGGGCTGTGTCCCCAGTACTTCCATTTTAAAAGGCTGCAAGCACAACAGTTCCGGGACAGGAACAACCGCCCGCCCGACATCGGGCTTGGGCATCAGTGTTTCCCGTTTGCCCCTCTGGTCTGCCAGCACCACAGGTGTGGCCAGGACACTGAAGTCCCTGGGAAGCTGCCGAGAGGAGATCTTTATGGCCACAGTGGAGAGAGCACCCTGCAGCCGAGCGATGGGCGTGTTTTCTGTAGGATCTGTTCTGGGCAGCAAGACCTTCGCGCTGGTATAAACTAGCATAGGAGCGCGCTTATTTCATTCCATTCAAGGCAACAGGCTCTCTCTCTCTCTCTCTCTCTCTCTCTCTCTCTCTCTCTCTCTCTCTCTCTCTCTCTCTCTCTCTCTCTCTCTCTCTCTCTCTCACAGCTTGTCACCTGCTCTGGTGACATTGAGGGTCTAATTGGGAAGCGCAGCCTGGTGCCTGCCTATAGGATGCGCCTCCCTGACACAGGCACTGGTTCCCATTAGAAGGGGAGAGGGAGTCACGAGGGATGTGGAAACTTCTGCCCTAAAGGTGGGAAAGGGACCGGCTCACAGCACAAGTGCAAAGCATGCATGCGTGGGGGGGTGGGGGGCGTGTGTGTGTGTGGTGTGAGTGGCAAGGGTGTGGGGTAATGTGAACATATGACTATGGGGTGTGTGTGTGTGTGTGTGTGTGTGTGTGTGTGTGTTTGTAGGAGCATGCTTGCTGCTGGCCAGCTCTGGGATCCCCTGGGGCCTGTGCTGAGGGCTCCACATCCCTGCTGGGTGCTCTGGTTTGTGCAAGTGTGGCCAGGTTCACCATATGCCCAAGCGCAGGTGGAGGGAAAGGGCATTGGGGGAGGGGGAGCCCCTCTGGGAGGAGGTGGCCTTGTCCCCCAGAGGCTGAGACCTGCCAGTGACAGCCAGCAGCACCATGGGGCGGGAGCCAGGTCACAGACCCAGGCTGTGACATCTTACTGTAGAACTTTGAGACAAAAAGAACCAATGTCTCTACCATCCAATAGAGCTATTTTTGCCATATCTTCTGCATATGATATGTCCATATGTGCCAACATGTATTTATATCACTGTAGTTACACGTCCCTGCTAGCCGCTGTCTCTGTCTCCATCTCTGACTCTGACTCTGTCTCTGTGTCTCTGTCTGTCTGTCTGTCTGTCTGTCTGTCTGTCTGTCTCTCTCTCTCTCTGGATCAAACCCAGGATTTTCACACAGAGTTACATCCCTAGCTTATTTTTATTTTCTCTTGAGACAGGGTTTCACTAAATCATTAAGTTGCCCACACTGGGTCAAACTTGAGATCCTCCTGCCTCAGCCTCTCGCGAGTGCGGGGATTATACGGCCACACCCAGCTCATTTGCTTCTGTCCTTTGTCTTAAATGCATTGCAGTTCTCAATGTCCTCGCAGTTGCCTCTTGCGATCCGTTGAGGTGTGTTCACCCTGGGATGTTCTGTATTTGAGTCTGATTGCATTTCCGGTTTTGGATGTGTCTTGTGTGTGGATAAACCAGGAAGCTGTGTTGAAAGAGAAACTCTGGGAGCTGAGGTTCCGGAGGAAGGAGGGAGGACGTGCGGGGCTGGGGACCCAGCAAAGCAAGGTGACAGCTCAGGTCTGTGGGGCAGCCAGCTGCAGGTGGGTCAGTTATCTTGATGATGTTTCTGCTGAACTGACTCTGGGCCGGCTGAACTGCTTCCTGCAGTACTCCACCATTTGGAATTTACTTCGAGTCAGCTTGGGTTCTCGCGATGCTACATCTAGCTCCATGGACCAGCGGCTGCCATGTGTCTAGGACATTAGGCTGGATAGGAGGCCACGAGGCGCATCAGTGTTGGCCCACAGCCCTGAAATCCTAATAATTTGTGTAGCCAACTTGCTGCTAATTTCCTGCCTGTTCTGGAGTAGGTTGCAGTTTTGCGCCTGTTTTACAAACTCCAGGTTATAGTTCTTGTGGACTGATGTCTGGATTGTTTTGCTTCTCTATCAAACATACGGGTCTTTGTTGCTCCTATTTTTATAAGAATGCAAGCAAATCACTCACATGCATGTGTGTGAAAGCAAGCATGTACACACACACACACACACACACACACACACACCCTGACACAACTGGATTAAAAGCCTAGGATGCAATGCAGGAGAGTTTGGGTCTGGCTTCCCTGCTCCTTAGCGTGGCTTTTCTTTTCTCAAGTTCCACTTCCCCACCTCTGAAAATGAGAATGAGAGTCCGTTGCTCACAGCGTTGTCAGAGGGATGGCTAAGTGGAGTAGCGCCCGGCGGCTGGCAGCGCAGGTACTGGGTTACCGCTGCCTGGATCCAGTGCACTTGTCTGATTGTTCTATTTTTTTTTAATTAAAAAACTTATTTATTTATTTGTTTGTTTGCTTGGCACCAGGTCTCCCTATGCAGCTTGGACTCCCAGTGATCCTCCTGTCTCAGCCTCCCCAGCGCTGGGATTGCAGGCATGCACCACTACGCCCGATTTTGGTGGCTGCCTCGGTGCAGGGCCCACACAGCATGTGGGACCAGGGATGGAACCCTGGGCCTTGCACTTGCCAGGCAAGCGCTTAGACTGCCAAGCTGTCTCCCCAGCCCCTGCCTGTCCTGTTTGCTGGCTTTTCAGTTCAGTTCTTTCAAGTTTGGAAATTTTTGTTCTTGTTTACTTTTTAATTTTTGTGAGCCCATGTTTGCAGTGTACAATGACTATCCTCACCATGGGGAGCTGGGACACGCGTGTGCCTCGCCTTAGTGTTTCCCCGCCCCACCCCACCCCTCCATCTTGGTCCTTTTTCCTTTCACAAGCAATCTCTCTTCCTATTTCCTGTTTTCTTTTTCTCTTGAATTTGTTTATACTTTAGATCTTTCACATAAGAGAAGTCAGATGACATCTAAGCTTGCATGTCTGATTTACTTAATATTATAGTCTCGAGGTGCATCTGTTGTCTTACATGTGGCTCGTTTATCCTTCTTTATGGCTGAGCAGTACTCCATTCTGTGCAAATACCACACTTTCTTTATCCACTCATCTGTGGATGGGCATCTAGTTGCTTCCAAGATTTAGCTGTCAAGAATTATGCTGCTATAGAGCCTGGGAAGATAGATCAGTAGAATAAGCACTTGCTTGGCAAGCGCAGGGTCCTGAGTTCAATCCCCAGCACCACACACACACACACATACACACACACACACACACACACACAAATAATAATTATGCTGCTATAAACAGGGGTGTGCCTGGGTCACTGAATGTGATGTCTCACTCTTTCAGGAAGATACCTAGACACAGAACAGCTGGGTCAAATGGGATGGGTACTTTTAGTTTCTGAGGAGTCTGCACCTTGATTTCCATGGTGGCTGTTCTCGCTGATGTTCACAGCAACCGCGTGCAAGGGCCCTTTCCCACGCAGCATGGCCTTCAGTGTTTGTGATTATTCGATTTCCTGGTGATTGCTCTTGCTGGGGTAAGATGGACTCTTGATGTTTTATTGTTGATCTTTTTCTTTCTGGCGGAATCAGAGATTGAACTCAGGCCCTTGCGCTTGCCAGGGAAGTGCTTATTCCATTGAGCCATCTCCCCAGCCCTTCTTGATGTTTTAATTGGCATCTCTTTTAAGTGTGTTTGTGTCTAGGTGTCTCCCCAGAGCCTCATGCAGTTACTGGGGCAGACCTCCAGTGCTGGGAGTATGGATGTGGGTGCTACACCCGCCCTGGGGCAGAGCCTGAGTACAATACAAGGGAGGGAGGGAGGCTGGCTAGCTGCCGCGGCCGCTGCTCCTACCTTGGCTCTTTGCTGTTTTCGACCTCCATGAACTGCCGCTCTCTGCCATGTGCCGCTCTGCCTTGGAGCCAGCTGAGTATGGACTGAAACCTCCACTAACTATGAGCTGAACAATCCTTTCTTTCCTTCATTTTGGTAGTCGGGTATTTTGTCCCTGCAATGAGAGAGAAGTGAGACAAAGACCACTGATGTTGAGGCTTGCTTCAGCCATTTGTTCTTTTCCTGAGAAGGGTCTGTTCATTTCAGTTGCCCCCCACTTTTTTTTTAATTGGGCTTTTTATTTGGATTGTATAATTTTGAGTTCTTTATATATTCTAGATATGAGTCCTCTCTCTGAGGAGCAGCTGGCAGTTTGGTTTTTTTCCATTTTGTAAGTTGTGTCCTCACTCTGTTGTGGTTTCCTTCATTGTGAGAAGCTTTTTAATTTTATTGAATCCCATTTGTTGATTATTGGTGTTATTTCTTGTGTAGCTGGGGTCCTGTTCAAAACGTCTTCGTCTATACCAATGTCTTCAAGAGTTTTACTTGTTTTATCTTTGAGTAGATTGTTTCTGTTTTAATATTCAGCTCCTTGATCCATTTTGATTTCATTTAGTACGAGGTGAGAGGTGAGAGTACTTCATTCTGATGCAAAGCCCAAGCAGAACTTCGTACTTGAAGCAAGCCTCTTGGGGAGTAGCACAGAGACTCCAACCCGCCTCCTGACCTCCGGCATCTCGAAGGAGGAGAGCGGCTTCAGGCTGGACAGCACCTGCGCCCCACCGCGCAGGAAGGCTGAGAAGGGCCTGAGGACGAGCCTCTTGGAAGGACTGCGCTTGTGAGAACTGCTGTTTTAAACTACATGCCTGCTTCAGCAGGCACTTTATAATTAAGCATCCATGCGCAGTGGTGTTTCTACTGTTGGAAAAGCTGCTCTGTGAAAGTACACGTGGGCTGCGTC